AGCAATGATCAACAACCAATTTGACAGAGCTTGAAGAATTTTGAAAAGAATAATGGGCAAATGTTGCACAATCCAAGTGTGGAAAGCACTTACCCAGAAAGACTCACAGCTGTAATCACTGCCAAAGTTGCTTCTACAAAGTATTGACTCAGGGGTGTGAATACTTTTGTAAATGAAATAGTTATTTATTTAATTTTCAATACATTTGCAAAATACAACAATAAAATAAAGTGTTTACTTTGAATTCAGGCTGTAATACAACAAAATGTGGAATAAGTCAAGGGGTATGAATACTTTTTGAAGGCACTGTAGATTAGGGTTGGCCTACTCCAGTCCTCGGGGGCCTGATTGGTGTCACACTTTCCCCCAGCCCTTTAACTATCACACCTGATTAAACTAATTGCATTCTAAACTTAAGGGTGCTTTTTAGTCGTTCAATTTTTATTGTTATAATTTTGTTTTTCATCCTCTTATGTTTGTTGTGTAGTAAATATAAAATAAAATAAAATCCTTGTTTTTATTTGTTTTTTCCATGTGAAGCGCATTGCATTGCATTCCATGTCTGAAATGTGCTGTATAAATAAAGCTTGATTTGATTTGATGAAGACCATGATTAGTTGATTATTGGAGTTGTGTTAGCTGGGGCAAAAGTGTGTCACCAATCAAGCTCCAGAGGACTGGAGTTGACCATCCCTGACCTAAATCAGAGATAAAACATGCTAGATTTAGAATGTTGTGTTATACAACAGCTGACTAAAGATGGGGCATTCAAATCAAGACCACGAGATGTGCAGTTGAGAACGTTTCCACGGCAATGGTGCCGCTTAACAATTCTGTGATGAAACTTTGAAACGAGTGTCATGAAATACATACACCAGAAACAGGGTACATATTTGGACTTGTCAGAAATGTCAGCAAGCCAGCCTAGCTATGTACAGCAAAATAGCTAGCTAGCTCTCTGCTTGGCTAGCTAACTGCTTAGCTGAACACAGAATGTTAGCGCACTCTTTGAATGGCTAAATAGATCTGTCTCGTCTCAAGACTTTGGCTAAAATTGACATGTGGAATCATGAATACTTCAGCCAACGACATGAGACCTTCTAAAATTAGACCGTTCAGATCAAACAAATTGTTGCGTCGTGCTCATCTTATGTATCTGAACTGGGCTTTGTGTCTATTCCGTGCCAGTACATTTGTGTGAACTGAAGGCTGGACACATTACATTTTTAACAACGCTTTTTTCATTGCATCTGTCATTTAGGTGCCATGGTGCCATTTAGGGAAAATTGAATTCTAAGTGTGGGGATCTATTTTCTTGTAACTGGATGTGATACCTAGCTTAGAAAGAATGCATTAATGATTAAACATAAAAGTTTTGTACTGTACTGATATAAATTGTTTAACCTAACAAGCTGTGATTAATGTGAGGAGCTGTTTTAGAGAGTAGGGGGAGATAAGAACTTGTGTCTTAAAATACTAGACTACACTGCCTCTTTGTTGTCTGTGAACCGTCCAAGGACGTACAGTGGGGAAAAAAAGTATTTAGTCAGCCACCAATTGTGCAAGTTCTCCCACTTAAAAAGATGAGAGAGGCCTGTAATTTTCATCATAGGTACACGTCAACTATGACAGACAAAATCAGACGTTTTCTGTAAGTCTTCACAAGGTTTTCACACACTGTTGCTGGTATTTTGGCCCATTCCTCCATGCAGATCTCCTCTAGAGCAGTGATGTTTTGGGGCTGTGGCTGGGCAACACTGACTTTCAACTCCCTCCAAAGATTTTCTATGGGGTTGAGATCTGGAGACAGGCTAGGCCACTCCAGGACCTTGAAATGCTTCTTACGAAGCCACTCCTTCGTTGCCCGGGCGGTGTGTTTGGGATCATTGTCATGCTGAAAGACCCAGCCACGTTTCATCTTCAATGCCCTTGCTGATGAAAGGAGGTTTTCACTCAAAATCTCACGATACATGGCCCCATTCATTATTTTCTTTACACGGATCAGTCGTCCTGGTCCCTTTGCAGAAAAACAGCCCCAAAGCATGATGTTTCCACCCCCATGCTTCACAGTAGGTATTGTGTTCTTTGGATGCAACTCAGCATTCTTTGTCCTCCAAACACGACGAGTTGAGTTTTTACCAAAAAGTTCTATTTTGGTTTCATCTGACCATATGACATTCTCCCAATAGATAGGGAGAAAAATAGTAGGCAAGGTTGAATTTGATCATGTAAAGGTAAAATAATGAATAACTAGTATGACTAAACTGAAACGTTTGAACTGATATAATTGAACTGTAACGTTTGATGTTTGACATAGCATAATACTGGTTTTAAATAATTATGTTGAAGCAATTTGGTTTATTATTTGATTTAACGTTTGATGTTTGACATAGCATAATACTGGTTTTAAATAATGATGTTGAAGCAATTTGGTTTATTATTTGATTTAACGTTTGATGTTTTTCTCCCAGAAGGAAAGGACCCGTTTATACCCACCCCTACCAACAGCGCCACCACCATTTGACGACCACCCAAAAACAATGGCTCCGGTTCTGGACATAGCGGGAAAAGTCCACTATCAACAAAGGACAGATGAGGAGGAAGAAGGAATGTGGGTCAGAAAGAGTGATATGACTGACAGAAGGGGAGAAGTGGATGTACTTCTAAAAGCTGCAAAAGCGCTAGAAAAAGGAGTGTTTGAACTGAGTAGAATCGAGGGAGAGACGGGGAGCAGATGCGGAACAGAAGGAGGAGGGTGTGTTGACGGAGACGGTGAGAGTGAGAAGGAAGAGAGAATGAGCCTAACTGGAGGAAACGTAAGGGGTGGTCTAGCCCAGGGGGAGTGGCAACGAAACAAGGATGCTGAAGAAGGGGAAAGGAGGGAGAGACTTGAGAGACAGAGAGATTAAGAATGACTGGAAAAGTTGAAGATGATAAAAGAGGAAGTACGACACCAGGAAGCACAATTGCACAAGTTAAAGATGGAGCTCGAAGCGAACAAAAACAGAAGTGAAAGTGAACGCTCACCAGTAAGGGGACACTGTATTGACCTCAGAGACGGGGAAGTGAGTGAGGAGGAAAGAGTGAAACAACAAAAACTCATATGTGGAGCTTTTGATGGAGACATATGGGACAACAATGATGGACCCGCGTACCACACCCAAGCCAGGGCCCAGTCCAGAGAAGGACACAAAGGGGGGCAGTACCCGTTGAGGGAGACCCCAGGGGGGGCCTCAGTTTACAAGCCATGGGCCCACAGAGACATACAGACCCTGGTGGACAGTCTCCTCCAACCTGAAGAATCTGGACACAGATGGGTGAAGGCTTTTGAGAGTCTCACCGCAGCGGATGAACTCACCATAGGTGATATGGTTACTGTACTGAACAGGTGTATGGGTGACCAGGAATGCAAAGAGATAATGACCTCTGGGGGACTGAGAGGACAAGTGGGGTCGGCTACAAGATTTGACCCCCACCGCAGTGACGTATGGGACGCCATAAGGAGGAAGTATCCTACCCAGGCCAGACCCGAACTGATGAGAACTCTGACATTGAATGACGATGAAACCATACCAGCATACATGAAGAGGGCTAAGTGCCTCTGGAGGCAAGCGTGGAATGAAGAACCAGGAAAAGACACCATGAAGCACCTCTTCCTGACAAACTTCCTGGGGGGACTCCCGGATCAGGCTCAAGTTGAATGTGAAAAAGTTGTGGCAATCACCGCAAAATCGATTCCGGAATTTACCGAGATAGCACAACACCATGTGGAACGATGGAGAGAGGGTAAGCGAAAGGAAGAGGATGAACTCAAACAACTTCAGAAGAAGGTTCTGAAGAAGCAACTGACAGAGGACAAGCCAGGAAAACAAATGGTGGTAACCAGTACCCCAACATCTAATCCTACCACTCCTGCACCAGGAAATGATACTGCTGCTGCAGTTACTGCTGTAGTACAGGCAATGACGGGAACGATGGCACCTTCTGGTCCTCCTGGATATGTTGCACCCGCATACCAGCAACCCTATGTACCGCCACAACAACAGGGATACACCCCTAGATATGCTGACCAAGGGTGTTTTAACTGTGGGATGCATGGCCACCTGGCAAGACACTGTCATCTCCCAAGACAGGGACAACAAAGAGGGAGGGGTTACATGGGACAGCCCAGAAGACAAGCACCGAGATACCAGCAAGGACGGGGAAGCTGGCAAGGAGGAGGAATGCCAGTCCAGCAGCACCAACCACCACAACAGCAGAACCGAAAACAAGACCCAGCAGTGCCTAACGCTGCCCTCCTGCCCAGCATGTCATGGCTGGGTGACGAACACAATTACCAATGAAGCTGCCCAGAAACCCATAAGGATCCCACCACCAACATTTACACTTTCCCACCAGGTTCAGAGCCGGTAGTGACATGTTTGATTGAAGGAAGAAAACATAGTATGCTGATTGATACAGGATGCATATGGTCTTCTGTACAAGCAACATATCAACTCACTACCAAAACACAAGCTTTCTCTGGGGTTTCTGGGGCTATTATGAGAAAGCCATACACAGTTCCATTGGAGGTTGTATGGGATGACCTACAGGTTACCCATCAGTTTCTATACAACCCGGAATGCTCGGTGGGGCTCATGGGGAGGGACCTGCTTTCCAAACTGGGATGTAGTATCTATTGTAACCAGGAGGGCCTGCACGCATCCATCACGCCCATTGATGAACTCATGCCAGTAATCATGGAAAAACTCTCAGACCCCCCTCGCATGCTATATGTGGGAACACACCTAAACGAGGAAGATGAGGAGGAAGCATATGTTTACTGGCTGAAGCTCATGGATACTGACCCTGATGCTCCCCGAGTATGCAGAGAGTTCCAACTATGGAAGGCCTGGATACAGACCTTAAATGCATACTATCCACCTGAGGACCCTCCGCACATGACAATGAACTATACAAGGGACTTGGATGAAGCATATGATGAAGCCTGAGAGGAGGAAATGGAAGATAGGCGCCCGATTGTGACCAGCAATCATATGTACATACTCAAAGAAGGGGTGGCTACCAGCTGCATGGTCATGGATGGAGACGTGGTGCTCACAGACAAATGGTTTGCTCTTCCTAGTGATTCTGTGCCGCATGTGGTTGTCACACCCTGGCTCTGGGACTCATTATGTTGAGCCAGGGTGTGTTCATTCTATGTGTTTATTTCTATGTTGGTAGTTCTGTTGTGTTTATTTCTAGGTTGGTCTGAGTGACTCCCAATCAGAGGCAACGAGTGTCAGCTGTTTGCTGGTTGTCTCTGATTGGGAGCCATATTTAACTGTCTGTGTTTCACTTTGGGTTTGTGGGTTTTTGTTCCGTGTCGGTATTGTTAACCGTGGACTTCACGAGTCGTGTTTTGTTAGTACTTTAATTAAATAAAGTCATGTTTGTTTCACACGCTGCGCCTTGGTCTACTCACTCCTACGACGATCGTGACAGAAAAACCCACCATACCAAGACCAAGCAGCGTGTCCAGGAGCAGGCAGCCTGGACGTGGGAGCAGATCTTGGACGGGCAGGGGTCCTGGACCTGGGAGGAAATCCTGGCCGGGATGGATCGCCGGCCATGGAGTGAGACGGTGGAGGCGCGCCGTAGAGAGGAGCTACGGCGTGATCAGGGTCGTCGTCGGACGGTCGTGAGGCAACCCCAGAATTTTTTTAGGGGGGGGCACACGGCATGGACGACGGGGCTGACGGAGGAGAAAAGGGGGCGGATCCAGAAGGCCACCAGGCCAGGGGTACACCGCCCTGTACGTCCTGTGCGGATGCCTCACACAGAGTGTGTGAGGGTAGGCATTCAGCCAGGACGGGTGGTGGCCGCTATTCACTCCAGGCCTCCTATCCGTCTCCACAGCCCGGTTCGGCCTGTCCCTGCTCCACGCACCAAGCCTACGGTGTGCGTCGCCAGCCCAGTCCGGCCTGTCCCTGCTCCACGCACCAAGCCTACGGTGTGCGTCGCCAGCCCGGTTCGGCCTGTCCCTGCTCCACGCACCAAGCCTACGGTGTGCGTTGACAGCCCAGCCCGGCCTGTCCCTGCTCCACGCACCAAGCCTATGGTGTGCGTCGACAGCCCAGCCCGGCCTGTCCCTGTTCCACGCACTAAACCTACGGTGCGCGTCGCCAGCCCGGTCCGGCCTGTTCCTGCCACCCGCACCAAGTCTACGGTGCGCGTCGCCAGCCCGACCCGGCCTGTTCCTGCCACTCGCACCAAACCTACGGTGCGCGTTGCCAGCCCGGTCCGGCCTGTTCCTACCACCCGCACCAAGTCTACGGTGCGCGTCGCCAGCCCGACCCGGCCTGTTCCTGCCACCCGCACCAAGTCTACGGTGCGCGTCGCCAGCCCGACCCGGCCTGTTCCTGACACTCGCACTAAGCCAGGGGTGCGAGAAGTCAGCCTGGTAAGGCCCGTTCCTCCTCCACGCACCAAGCCAGGGGTGCGAGTCGACAGACTGGACCAGGGGCACTATGGGGGGTGTATTGGAGGGTGGTGGTCAAGGCCGGAGCCAGAACCGCCGCCGAGGAGGTATGCCCGCCCAGCCCTCCCCTGTTTTGGTTAGTTGAGGTGCGGTCGCAGTCCGCGCCTTTAGGGGGGGGGGTACTGTCACACCCTGGCTCTGGGACTCATTATGTTGAGCCAGGGTGTGTTCATTCTATGTGTTTATTTCTATGTTGGTAGTTCTGTTGTGTTTATTTCTAGGTTGGTCTGAGTGACTCCCAATCAGAGGCAACGAGTGTCAGCTGTTTGCTGGTTGTCTCTGATTGGGAGCCATATTTAACTGTCTGTGTTTCACTTTGGGTTTGTGGGTTTTTGTTCCGTGTCGGTATTGTTAACCGTGGACTTCACGAGTCGTGTTTTGTTAGTACTTTAATTAAATAAAGTCATGTTTGTTTCACACGCTGCGCCTTGGTCTACTCACTCCTACGACGATCGTGACAGTGGTCCTCTGTAGCTCAGCTGGTAGAGCACGGCGCTTGTAACGCCAAGGTAGTGGGTTCGATTCCCGGGACCACCCATACACAAAAAAAAAAAAATGTATGCACGAATGACTGTAAGTCGCTTTGGATAAAAACGTCTGCTAAATGGCATATTGTTATTATATTATTATGTTACCCTTCTCGTGGGATTTGGATACGAGGCAAGATCTCTGGGACCTGCAGTAAAGGCAGCAAGTTGCCTACGGTGGAACAAAACCTCTTGTTATAAAGTGGAAAGCGCATTCCTTGATGGAAATCAAGTATGGAGAATTAAACTCAATGTGGATGATGTGTCAAAACCAGAGGTTGTGAGGAGATCACGTTACCATGGCAGGGAGATGACTGATCATCCGGATACTCCTAACATTTTCAATCAACTACCAGAGGAACTGTGGACAAAAAGTGCTGAAGATGTGGGGCTGGTTGATGTAGAACCAGTGGTTGTCTCCATTCGAAAGGAAAGTGAACTCACTGTCCCAGTTCACAAATCTCAATACCCTCTCAGTGAAGAGAAGACGAGGGGAATTGAGCCTACGATATCAGGACTCCAAAAAGGACAGGTTATATATCCAACCTGTTCTGCGTGGAATACACCCATCCTTCCAGTGAAGAAAGGTGACACTGGGAAATGGAGGATGGTGCAGGACTTCAGACCAATCAACGAAGTAACTGTACCAGATGTTCGACCTGTACCAGACCCATATCTGGCCTTACAGAACATTTCACCCACCCAAGATTGGTTTACAGTTGTTGATCTCGCCAATGCATTTTTCTGCATCCCATTACATCCAGAGTCTCAGCCACTTTTTGCATTTACCTACAGAGGGCAGCAATTTACGTATTCCCGTCTTCCACAAGGCTACCGTGATTCCCCGGGAATTTTCAACGCTACCCTGAAGAGCCACTTGGAAGAACTAACATTACCTGAGGGGGTGACGCTACTCCAATATGTTGATGATCTTCTGTTGGCAGCACCCACTGCCGAGTCTTGTTTACAGGCCACCAAGTCCCTTCTCCTGTTGGTAGCCAAAAAGGGATACAAGGTAAAGAAAGAGAAAGTGCAGTGCTGTCGGAGAAGCGTCCAGTTCCTGGGAAGAGTGCTGTCCGGGAAGGGACAAGCTGTGTCTGTGGCCCAGAGGACCTCCATCTTGGAACATCCCAAACCCACTACTGTACAACACCTTTTGTCATTTCTTGGCCTTACTGGATACAGCAGAACACACGTGCCAGAATACTGTCTTAAAGTGGAACCACTGCGGGCAATCTTGAGAGAAGCAGGAAACAGAAACCTCACAGCAGTCCTTAAGTGGACTCCAGAGGCAGAGGCAGCTTTCATCCAACTCAAACAGACGCTAGCACAGGCTGAAGCACTGTCCTTACCCGATTACACCACGCCATTCTGTGTGGATGTTTCTGAGCAGGACGGTTATGTACATTCCATCCTGTATCAGAAACAAAAGGGGGAGAGAAGAGTGTTACACTACTACAGCGCGAAACTGGACAACATTGAAACAGGACAAACTGACTGTGCCAGACACATGGCTGCCATTGCAAAAGCTATAGGTAAAACAGCCCACATTGTGATGAGACATCCACTTGAAATCAATACAGATCATGGGGTGACCGCTTTTATAGGCTCCAAACTTTTCACACTGTCCAGTAAAAGAAAATCCAGCATAACAAAGGCCATCACTGCAAACCACATTACATATGTGACAACAGCAACCAATATGACCGATGGTATGGGTCTTGGAGAACCACATGTCTGTGAGGATAGAGCAGCCAAACAGATCAAAGTCCGAATGGACCTGCAAAACTCACCCTTGGAGGGGAACAAAATCACCATGTTCACTGATGGATGCTGCTACAGGTCAAAGGACCCAAAGGAAGGAAACACTGCTGCCTATGCAGTGGTGAAACAAGACACAGAAGGAGGACATTAAGTAATGGAAGCAGAGAAACTTGGTCCCAATGAAGCTTCAGCACAGCTAGCTGAACTCAGAGCGCTGAGGAGAGCCCTTCAGCTCAGCAAGGGAAAGAATGTGGACATTTACACAGATTCTGCCTATGCACATGGGATTGCACACATTGATGGACCACAGTGGATGAGGAGAGGGTTTGTGACCAGCTCAAATGAACCCATCAAACATAAGGTTGAAGTACAGAAGCTAATTGAAGCAATCCAGTTTCCAAAGCGAGTGTCAATAATGAAGTGCAAGGGACACAGCAGAGAAAGTACAAGAGTACGTGAAGGAAATGATCGAGCTGATCAAGCAGCAAAGGATGCAGGAGGATATACTGCTCAGCAGATGGTACAACGAGCAACTCAAGGCCAAGAGGAACTGACGGCAGACACAGTAAGACAGTTGCAAGAAGCAGCAGATGTCTACGAACAAAACGTATGGAGCAGACAAGGAGCGAGACAAGACCACCAAGGAATGTGGAGATCTCACACAGGAAAAACAGTGGGACCTGCAAAACTTCTCAGGTCAATCATAAGGGAAGAGCACGAAAAGGCCCATGGAGGATGGAAAAGTGTTACAAAATCAGTGGAAAAAGCATGGTGGCATCCACACATGTTGGACATGGCAAGATAGACATCAGAAAGCTGTGAAGTATGCAAACAGTATAACAACAAAGTGTCACTCGGAGCAGTGATAGGCAGCTTCCCAATACCTGACGCGCCATTTCAAGACATTTGCATAGATTGGGACAGGACAACAGAGTGGAAGGAAAAAGATACCTGTTGGTAATGGTTGACAGATTCACCAGATGGGTGGAAGCCTTCCCCACAGCAAGGGAAGACGCAAAAGCTGTGATTAAATGGCTCAGGAGGGACCTCATCCCAAGGTTCGGGGTCCCGCGAATGGTCCGTTCCGACAACGGTACCCATTTCAAGAATAAACACCTGAGGGAGGTAGAGCAGGCCCTAGGAATCACCCACAAGTTCGGGTCAGTGTACCACCCCCAATCGCAGGGACTCGTAGAAAGAGCTAACCAATCGCTGAAACGAAAAATGGCCAAAATCATGGCCGGAACTAAACTGAAGTGGGTAGATGCGCTGCCCCTAGCTCTAATGTCAATGAGAAACTCACCTGGGTCTGACACCCATTTAACACCCCATGAACTCATGACAGGGTGTAGAATGCCAGGACCACCAGCAGACAATCTTAGCATGCCTAGACTAGACATTGCAAAAATCAGATACACAGACTACATGCAGGCGTTAACCTCTCTTGTTGAAAGATTGTCTAAACAGGTGGTGGAGGTTCGCACTCCTGCTGTTGAAACTACAGACGAGAACAGAGACATCTTTGTGGGAGACTGGGTGAGAGTGAAGGTGCATTCCAGGAAGTGGACGGAGCCAAGGTGGGAAGGACCCTTCCAGGTGAAAGAGGTATCAAGCCACTCATTGAGGGTGAACACGAGCAAGAAGGACGTGTGGTACCACAGGACACACTGTGCCAAAGATATAGTTCCAGGGAGGACTCTAGATCAGGTACAACAGGACTTGGCAACAGAAGGAGAATGATGATGATGTTATGGTTAGGAGTGGGGCTGGCCTTATGGGGAACAGTGTTCTCAGCTCCCAATCAGTATCATAACATAGTAATTACCTTACAGGAAGGGGAGTCCCAAGTGGTGACCCTAGAACCATGTAAGATCTGGTCATGGAGGAATAGGGCTAGTGGAATTGGGGAAACTAATTGCAAATGGAACTCGAAGGGAAACTGTAATGAAATGAACCCCTATGTGTTAAAACAAAATACTTATCTGTGTGAGGGAAAGTGGTGTCCATATTGGGACTATATGATCACAAATGTTGGCACCTTCTGGGAATGGCGTAGAAGCTATCCATATGCATTAACAGATGCTTCTAAAGCAGCCAGGTTTTCAATGATAAGGGGTGTGCAGGGGTCAGCAGGGGGTGCATGTAAAGGTGATGAAATCATACTAACCATTCAGGACATTAAACCTACAGATGCAGGTGTGTATACCTTAGCAGCAATACGAACCGGACCAGATACCATGGGTATGTTTACCATTGCAGTCACACCCAAACCTCCAACTGGGCAGAGACAGACCCAGTTAAACCACACTACCACTCCAGGACCAGCTCAGCCCCAACCCACGAAGGTACCAAACCCCGTTCAGGTAGCTAATGTTAGGGATTTTACGGACAGTGACCAATTGGGTACAGAAACTGGGTATGAAGGGAGGGAAAATATGTGGTTAGCATACATGAGGTATACGGCTAGAACACTGGGCAGGCAAAATTGTGTTATCTGTGGGCATGCTAGACCCGGACTGGCAACCCACCCATTTGCTTTAGGAGAAGGGGAGGGATGGCAGTGCATACTGGAAGAGTTCTATCACTCGCTGCCAAACACCACCCTGTGTAAAGCTCTAAGTTTGATTTTTCCTGAGGTTCCACCACAGAAGGCACCAGGAGGAGTTAAGGCTTATGGGGGTAATTACAGCTGTATCACTGGGACAGGTAAGGGTGTTAACTATGGTAGATTGCCATCTGGGGACTGTGCTGTAAATGTAACCATGAACAGCACTTGGCCTGTAAAAGATAGGAATCAGACGAAGGGGGTTGCTGATGTGTGGTGGATTTGTGGCCCGGATAGAAGGCTGATCCCGATTCTAAAGGGGGACTGGCAGGGTACGTGTGCTTTAGCTAGTCTATTTGTTCCACTGACCATTATTGATGTTTCCTCAGACCAACTCTTGGGAATTGCCCAATTAACTCCGGAGAATGAGGGTGTAAGGCAGAGGAGGAAGCGTAGTGCCCCATGGTCAGTGGGGGAGGAAATCCATCCTAATTTGTTGGGGGTGCCTGTGGGGGTACCATCAGAGTTCCAGGCTCTTAACAGGAACAATGGGTTATGGCACCTGGTGCCGATCATAGGTCCAGCAATAGATGCTGCTAAACAGCGATCTTGGATAAATTATATCTATTATAATCAACAGAGATTTGTTAACTACACACGTACTGCCCTGACTGGAATGTCTGAGCAACTAGAGGCCACCTCTAGAGTGGCTAGGCAGAATAGACTGGCACTAGATATGATGCTTGCTTACCAGGGAGGTGTATGTAAAATGTTTGGGGAACAATGCTGTACGTTTATTCCTAACAATACTAGCCCTGACAGGAGCATCACTAAAGCCCTTGTTGGCCTGGATAAGTTATCTGCAGAGATGAAGAGCATGGGTGGAGTGGAGAGTGGTGGGCTGTTCTCCTGGTTGAACGACTGGTTTGGTAAGTACTCAACTATGGTGGTTACTGGATTTCTGACCCTAATTGTTGTGTTCTTGCTCTTGATGTGTTGTGCCGCATGTATTAGCCCCTTGCTCAGAAAGTCTGGTTACAGATGTTGTGCATACGGCTGGTATGATGCCCCTCCTAGTGGCTCAAGAAGGAGATGCAGACACTGAGATGAAGTTGACTGAGGATGACCCTTGGTTTGCTATTGGTGAGGTGGTGGAGGGACACCCTAGAGGGTGTCAATAGGGGGCAAAAAATGTACTTCCCTGTTGTGTTTTATGTTTATTAATTTTGTGTTTTGTGTTCTATTAATCTGTGGGGTTATTAATCAAGTTATTCTTCAGATTTTTTGCTTTACTCTCGACTCGTGTTTCTGTTCGCTTTTTTTTTGCTTCCTTTTCGATTCTAGTGCTTGATCGATATGATTGTTTCGTTTGTTGAGTGAGCTCTAGAAGTTGTTGAAGTTTGAAGTTTGTGACTTTGTTCTTTAGTTTGTTTTTTGACTTTTGAACTAATTTGGTGTTGTGTGGTATTTTTAATCTTTTGTTGAATTTTGATTTTTGTTGATTGAATGATTGAATTGTTTTTTGCTTTGACTTTGATTTAGTTTTGTGGGATTGTTGTTGATGAATTGATTTGTTTTTGTTGTTTTTTTTGATGAATGTTGAAGTTTGATTTGTGGAATTTTTTGTGTTTTTGTTTGATTGTTGTTGAATTTTTGAATTGAAGTTATTTTGCTTTCTTTTTTGTTTGTTTTTTTTGTTTTGTTTGATGAAAGTCTGTTGAACTTTGATGTTTTTGATTTTTGTTGTGATTGATTTTGTGAATTGAAATTTGTTGAAGCTTTTGTTTGATTGGTTGTTTGTGTGTTTTTTTTTTTGAAGATTTTGACTGTTTTGTTTGATTTTTTTTTGATTTTTTTGATTTGATGTGAAAGTGATTGATTGATTTGTTACCATTGTTTTCTTTTGATTTGAACGTGTTTTGAGTGATTGTTTTGTTTTTTGTGTGATTGATTGCTTGGTTTGTTTGTTGTTCTTTTTTTTATGTTGTTTGACTTTGTTTTTGAAGTTCCGTGATTTGCTTGAAGATTTTTTTTTTTGAAGTGTTGTTTTTGATTGTTTGAGTTTTGTGTTTTTGACTTGAAATTTGTCGTTTTTGAATTTGATTTTGTTTTTTGAAGTGAAGTTGAACTGAAGTTGATTGAATTCTGAAGTGTTTTTTTTTGATTTTGAAGTTTTTGTTGAAGTTTGGATTTTGAGGATTGAATGAAGTTCTGTGAATTTGATTTTTGACTTGAAGGTTTGAATTGTCTGTTGCTGTGAGTTTTGAATTACCATGTTTGTTTTTTGTCTTTCTTATGTGAAGGTTTGACGTTCCTGGGTGGCTGGTAGCCAACCTAGTACAAGTGGGTGTAGATGGAAGGACTGAGGGTTTTATTTTTTTATTATCATTATTGCCTATTAATAAAAGTGTGAATATTTTTGTTTGTATTGTATTTTAATGAGTGACACTATAGAGGGTGTCAATAGGGGGAATCCTAAATTTCCCTGAAATTTGTTATTTTGGGTTTTCTTATTTTGGGTTCACACCCAGTGGGTGTGAAAAGGGGGATTGTGGGGATCTATTTTCTTGTAACTGGATGTGATACATAGCTTAGAAAGAATGCATTAATGATTAAACATAAAATGTTTGTACTGTACTGATATAAATTGCTTAACCTAACAAGCTGTGATTAATGTGAGGAGCTGTTTTAGGGAGTAGGGGGAGATAAGAACTTGTGTCTTAGAAAACTAGACTACACTGCCTCTTTGTTGTCTGTGAACCGTCCAAGGACGTAGGTACATAGAGTACAGGGGAACGGTGTCTATGGGTGCTGACTCGAGACGGGTGTGATGATAACAACTTATGCCTGGCAACGGTGGAGCGCCAAGGGACTGGGACCAGCCTGTGCGCCAACGATTGGCTGAGTAAGTCTAAACCACGCTCAGTCTCTACTCTGATTGGCCAGCAGGGAGCGGGAACTATCTCTGTCCGAGTATTTTAAGAAGAACTCATAACAATGGCTTAGTTCTCTGAGTGCCCTGTGTGGTATTTCAGTGGACCCGTATATACGAACATCATATTTACCATTGAAGTGGTTTGCAATAATTAAAATACTAGTCTATTTTAGAAGACGTGTATTGACCTCTTGTCACGGTTTCGGCCGAGGCTGCCTCTCTTCCTTGCTCGGGCAGGCTTCGGCGTTTTCGTCGTCTCCGGAATACTAGCTGCCACCGTTGTATGTTTCTATGTTCGTTTGGTCTTGTCTGGAATTGTACACCTGTTGTCGTTTAGTGTCCTATAAGTTCTCGTTGTGTTTGTCAGGTGTTGTGTGTGATTGTTTCGCTGTCGTGTTTGTGCTCTACAGTATACCGTTTGCTCTTTGTAGCTTTCCTCCTCTGTTAAGGAGAGTATATTCGCACATGTTTAGTGCACCCTTTTGTTTACGCCTGCGTGCGGAGTTTCTTATTATCTGCGTCCTGCGCCTGATTCCAGCACCACACCCACCTACAGCACCTACTGACAGAATCACACACCATTCTGAATGGAATCAGCAGGAGCCGCAGCAGCACAGGAGACGTTGGAGGATCGGGTCCGGGAGCAGAATGACCAGATCCTGCGGATCGGGACCGCCCTGCAGGATGTGATCAACACACTCCAACGCTGGGAGACCCGAGGGACACCCCCAACTCCACCTTCCCTGCCATCACCATCAGCCAGTCAGCCCATTCCCGCTCCGGAACCCAGAGGAATTCGACTCTCGCTCCCGAGGGCCTACGATGGGACCGCTGCCGGGTGTCAGGGCTTCCTTCTCCAGGTGGAGCTTTACCTGGCCACCGTGCACCCGGCGCCCTCGGGACACGAGAGCGTGTCCGCCCTCATCTCCTGCCTTTCCGGCAAGGCGTTAGAATGGGCCAACGCCGAGTGGAGGAGGATAGACGCTACCACCATCACATACGCTGAGTTCTCCCGCCGCTTCAGGGCGGTGTTTGACCATCCACCGGAGGGGAAAGCGGCGGGGGAGCGTCTGTTCTGCCTCCGGCAGGGGAAGAGGAGTGCCCAGGAGTTCGCGTTAGAATTCCGTACTCTAGCGGCGGATGCAGGGTGGAATGAGCGGGCCCTCATCGATCACTACCGCTGTAGTCTACGTGAGGACGTCCGTCGGGAGCTGGCCTGTCGGGACACCAGCCTCTCTTTCGACCAGTTAGTCGACATGT